TTTTATATTTATTTATTTATTTATTTATTTTGGAACCAGGGATTGAACTCAGGGCCTTGCGCTTGCCAGGCAAGTGTTTATTCAAAAAAAAAAATTATTTTTAAAATGTATTTGGTACATGATGTCACAATGTAGCTCAGACTCATGGTGATCCTTCTGTTTTCAGACTGCCCAGTGCTGGGATTACAGATGTGTGCCATCATGCTCAGATTAGGTTCCTGGTTTAGTGTGCCCAGGGGCAGGGCCAGCCCAGCATGTCGTACCAGGGATCAAACCCCAATCTCTATGCTTGCCTAAGGAAGCACTTAGTCCATTGAGCTATCTTGCTGGCCTTATTTTATTTTATTTCGTTGTTGTTTTGTTTTGTTTTTTTGAGACAGAGTCTCCCTATATAATCCAGGCTGACTTTGAACTCATTGATATTCTCCTGCCTCAGCCCCCCAAGGTTGGGATTACAAGTGCACACCACCATAGCTTGTGCCAGCAGACAACTCATTCCAGTCTCCTCTGCCTTGCACGACTGTTCTCTTGCCATTGCAGGCAAATGCCAGCCTCAGCAGGTTGTTTTTTTTTTTAAAGAAACTGACAAGCTGAAACTTAATGTTGCATAAAAATACAAAAGACTTAAATTTCCCACAAAGATCTGGAAAAGGAAAAACAAATTTGGAGAACACATGAATCAACTTAAATACCTTGCATAAAATACAGTTATCAAGGTGATAGGATTTTCGGCAGTGAAAAGACAGAGACAGAAAAGATAAAAGAAGCCTTTATTAACTCTAAAGACAGGGAGAGAATCGAGGGCAGACGGGAAAATCCCCTGACCTGAGACAAAGAAAGCCCAGACTTTTAAGGATTTTTGCCAGGGGCGGAGTTAGAGAGACAGTTTTAATTACATGTAAGGGGCTAACTGGGGTCTCTTGTGTGTGCACGGGAAAGGTGAGAGGAAACTGTACCCAGGGCTGGAGTGGGGAAGAAGCAGGGAGTGGCCTCTAGGAGGATAAACTGCTGTTTTAATGGCTTCAGCCATGTTAGATGACCACCATCATAATTCAGCAATTCATACTAAGGCCAGAACCTGTCACAATGTAATGCCATTTTTTTCTGGAAGACACTCGAATCTATGTGACTCCATTTGCGCTGAACAAATTAATTCATGTGAAAGTCAAGAGAACAGTAGCTATCTCAGAAGATGGGCTGGGCCAGGAAAGGCCAGGAAGGAAATTTGTCCTGAAGTTAAGTTGGGTAATGATAGGTTCCAGCCCTAGTATAAATTGCTGGATCATTATGCTGGTCATCTAATATGGCTGAAGCCCTTAAAACAACAGCCCGTCTTCCTCAAGGCCACCTCCCCCTTCCTCTCCAACCCAGCCCAGGGTACAATTTCCTTTCACCTTTCCCGCCCGCCTCAGGGAAGACCTGAAGTCAGCTCCTCAGGTATATCTAAACATCTTCAAATTCCACCCCTGGCAAAAGCCATGAAAGCCTCAGCCTCCCTTTGTTCCAGTCCAGAGAATCCCTTATCTTCCCCAGATTTTCTCTGTGTCCTCAAAGATAATAAAGCCCTTTTCTCTTTTTTCTTCTGTCTGTTTCTCTGCTGTCTGGTGCCTGAAAAAAAATCTATCAGGTAAGGACCCTAAGGGCATGGAGGTATTTCTTAAGGCTCACAACACAGTAATTACACTTACAGTTACTGCATTTTAATTATACTGAAATGAAAGAACACACATTGCACATCAGGTACAAAAGCAAAAACATACAGAAGAGAAATGAAAATTATTTCAGTGAGAAAACAAAATACAAAAGGTACAACCTAGTTTTTCTCCATTTTTCTCATTACTCTCTATTTAATCATTATTTTAAAATTTCATAGTCTTATAACAAAAATTCTTGGCTCTGCTGTCTGATTTTCTGTTCTAGAATGAAATATATTGGTCTGTCATCTGTTCACTAGTTACTGCAGACTCTCTAAAATAAATAACTATATTTTAGGGTTGTTAGCTTAAATTTCCACCACCAGCCTAACTTTTATTACAGTTTTTTT